TGCGGGTGTTCGAGGCCGCTCGTGATGACGGCAAACTCGAGCGCTTGCTTCTCGCTGTCGTCCTCGCCGGCCTCGTAGCCGTCACGGGGCGTGGCCGCCACCTTGTACTCGGAGATGATACTGTTTTGCGCCGACCGCATCTTCCGACTGCCGAGCAAAAGCAAAAATGAATGAATCACCTCCTCACAAAGGTCGCTGCCACTCGTGGCCACGGCGCGTGCGACGTTACACCAGCTGCGACTTCAACAAAGCTCCCTGCGACAGGCCATCTGGATTCCACACGCAAAGAAGACGATTTCGTTTTCAATGCCAGCCATCGCCCAATGCTCAAGAGCGCAGAAGGATCGATGAACGAAGCTTCTGCCCTTGAATGGAGGTGCTTTGTATGTACTGCTGGAGGTTTTCGGTGTGCTTTTAGAGCTTGCGGTTACAGGTCAAGGCGTGACGATGCCATGGCAGCGTCAACATTTCGAAGAAAGGCCACAGGAGCATCCGAGACGTCCGCATGGTGGCATCGGTGCACATTTGTGGGAGAGATCGAGATTATGGCACCCTGTCGCGCGAGCCCAACGTGGAGGCCTGTCTATAGCACGTCAACACCATTCGCAAGACGACGGTTCTGTTCGCCATGAGCTCTCGCGACGACCAGAGAGCACAGCACACGATACGATAAGCTGAAGCAATACCTGTGGCCACTCTCGGTCGTGGTGGGATGATACTACCGTGCCGGTTGGTCGTGCCGCCATCGGTGGACGTCGTTTTTCTGATCCGACGAGTGGGAGACAAAGATCTGAGTTTGCGCAAATGGGGTGCGTTGGACTGAGAGGAGCTCCCTCGGAACAACGAAGCATACCTTACGTCGTCGCGCTGGAAGACTCCCGAGTCCTCGTGCACTCTACCGCCTCTCCCTCGGCGTTGCATGTACTTCAGCGTCCTGCACGCAAATTCCTCGTCGCCAGCGAGCATCTTGCCGCGTGGGTGTTGTATGTGTATCTGATAATCGCTGCTTTTGTACCGAGGTGGCCCAATGATGCCGGTGATTGCGGACGATCCCAGCTCGTCCTTCGCAATGCGGTGCTTTGAATTGCGCGTCTTTTCGGGTATTTCACGTATTTTTCACACCTTTTTCTCACGCGTGGGTTGCCCCAATGGTGGGACATGACGAGGTGTTGTGTGTCTTTTCTACGATTTTACGGCACATCTGTCCACCTGTACGGCACATTGGTCCACCTGTACGTGGCAGCGTCGACAAGCCGAGGAGATTGGAGAACGACCACAGAACGTCCACGAATCATCTGCAGCACTGGGCTGCTCTCGACATCCGAAGCGCTCGACGGATAATGTGCAGCCGCCGACTCGGGTCGTATAGCAGGAAGCGACCGAGTGGCGACGCGAATGCTGGTGAATCTTCAAGGTATGCTACAGATATACTATGGTAATCGGTAATCACTTTCCGCTGCCGCGTTACTCACGTACAAAACAAATTACCCTTGGTTCGTGCCCCGTTCCTGTACCTTCGTCTTCTCACAATTCAAGTATGGACAGCCGGCGGTACGGACACCGGGTGCAACCACGCGGTGCAGCAGAGCGACTAACCCAGCGTCTCCGAAAGCGTGTCGATGATGCCCAAGTGCCACGGTCGATTGATCGATGCTCGCCTAATAGATGCTGATGTGTCTTTTTCCCGCGCTGTACTTCAAGTGTGATTACACAGCTTGACGCAGTTTGCCCACGGGTCATTGCCGAGGCCAGGGCGTGTGCACGAATGATGATGCACTTCAACCCCCAGGCCTTCGACACGCTTCGATGACCAACGAGGCGTCTCTTGCACGCTGATCGCTATTCGCTCCTTCGTTGTACTGTAGCGGTTCATGCTAGTTTCAAAGGCAATGTCGAGCGCAAGCTCGCCAAGCCAATCTCTACCGACGTGATCTTTAAGATTATGGTGCTGCATGTCCCGCAGGTCTTTGATGTCGGCTTGAAGCGCAGCGGAAGCTACATAATGCTGTCCTCGAGTTGGCCGGCGGTGCCGGCACGACTTTCGAATGACAAACAACGAGATGGCCGTCGACACATGTGCGCGCCGCCATGAATGCTCGCTAGTACTAGTAAAGGGACAGCGTTAATCACCCGATCGAGCGTGTCGACGTCGGACGACGACATGTCCGCGTGCTCGACTACGTGTTGTTGACAAAGCTGGACTTGGTGATGCTAACGTTAGAACGAGCGCAGAAATGTCCAGTGGCGGCTATCAATCGGCCCGACGCAGCGTGCGTAGGTGTGATCGGGGTGCTACGAAACATGCGTGCGAGACTGGATCTGTGTTCGCGAGATGCTCACGTGTGCACAAGCACCAGCACGAGCGGCGTGGGGTTAGAAATGCACTTGAAGATGCGAGCGCCGGCAAATTCGGCTTGTTTTCGAAACGCAGCGCTCCTATGTCCATTCGAGGATGGGAAGAACGCATCACTCGAATTCGCCAGCTCAAAATTGCTCAGCGCCACTGCCCAGGGCTGTCGTGTTGAACGGGTTGGCGGAACTGGACGCATCGCGAGGACAATTCGTGTTGTCTACATTTCTACAACTACGTAGTACCAAGGCCGTGCGTGAAGCGTCGGTGTTACTCAGTAGAGCGACAATTGATTGTCGAGTGTTTCTTGCGTGAATCGGCGATGATTTGGTATTTGGCGCCAAGTACGCACTAGTTCAAGTTGAAGACACACATTTAGTGTAAATAGTGTGGAACCGATCTATGGTTGTCTCACCTGATATGCGTCCACAGGCCAAGCACAGCTGCCAAGAACGGAGTCACAGAGTTGCTATGGGAACACAAGCCGAGGGGCATCGACGTCATTGCACGTGATGTACGTACCTGGTACTAATACGTTGTTGAGATCGTCTTTGACAGGACCGCCTTGGTATCTCGGCGGAGCTAATGTACCGTATAGCCAAACTACGTACTTGTTGGCTGAATTGATCGAGTGCTGTTGCGCGCAGCTTGCGATGACCATTCGAAAACGACGCATTTTGAAACCGTTTGGCGCGTTCATTGCTCAACCGATCAACATGATGTACGTGGCAACACTGGTCCTCACTGCAGGATCGACCCTTGGAGCGGCAGTGCTTCCCGCAACGATCGATGTCGCTTCGACGGCGACGCGCGCGATCACGGTTTGCTCCAGCTTGAACGGCCCCCACTGCTTCGACATCAACGCCCGAAACGTACCGTCCTACCTCCTGCACGACGTCGAATTCACTCCTGTACAGGCCACGTCCCTCCCTTTCCAAGAAGAACAATGTCCTTAGTCGTATGTGTAGGAGGCCGCGCGTCGACAGGTCGAGGCGACATCGATTCCGAGTTCGTCGTTCTTTTCCCAGGACGCGGTGGTTGTCGCCGTCGCACCAAGTGCAACGACGTCCAAACAGCGCTCTGTAGCGACGTTTCCGCAGAGTTTGGTGCTATCCGTTCTGACGAGCGAGGCCCGCGACGTCATCTCGATCGACGAAGAGGACCGCATTCTCGAGGCGTGGCGAGCCTACGTCCGTGCCGCCATAAATGTAGTGATGACGGACGACGCCTTTGCAGCGCGCTGGGCAAACTTTCTGGATTTGCTCTCGACCAAGCCAGCGCCCGTGCTCAACCACGGCCGCGACCATATCGAAGCGCACTTTACAGCCGTGTTTGGCGCAGACGTTGCAGCGTACGATGCCATCATGACAGAGCTCCTCGTGCTCGTGACGCAAACGACCGCGCAACGAGGTAGTCAGGCATGGATGTATCTCGATGGCACCACGAACAAGCCCTCGTTGTAGACGGACAGCGCGCAAAAGGTCACGTCAGCATGCTTGCGACGGCTACGGCGACGCGTCACGACGAGCACAATAGCGCCTGAGCAGCCACGTCTCGTCCTTTCTACTGACGTCGGAAAAGGAAGATGGGTCGGCGCTAGTAGCTGCTGCAGGCCCCAAAACAAGTACAAGTACTCGTAACGAGCAAACCGCCATTGATTTTTTCTTGTATGCGTCCACATGCAACCAAACTTAAAGTGTCTACAACGCTAGTGCACTCTAGACGCGATGCTAACAACATGACATATGTGGTGCCACACATCGCCGGCGCGCGATCGGCGGCGAAGCTGAAAATGCAACGGCCGGCTCGAAATATGAGCTACAGCTGCACGTTGCGTCGCTCAGTGTCTCCATGGCTGTTGACACGGAGCATTCTTCGAAGTATATGTGATGACAACGACAAAATATGAACGAGATCGACGATCTGGTACCGGTAAGCATGTTCCAAATGCCTACCGCTTGGCCCCAAAATGGAGGTCGGTCGAAGAGTGTGTTCTCCGAGAACCAAATAACGTTGGACCCAAGCAATAAGACAGCTTCTCATTGAAGCCTCTGGGACGCGAAGCCAAGGCTCGGCGACCATTCAACTCGATTTATGTTGCGGCAGTGATTGCGCTAGGGTTGGCGTCAGGCGCCAGTATTTTCAACCGTATTGAGCTGGTATTCACGCATGACCATGTCTTTCGAGACGCGCATTGCGAGAACATAGCGGACGCTGGGAAAGGGCGGCCACTTGAGAGCTCGCAGAGGCAGACGGTTCCGCAAGCTCCACCATTTTAGCGCATGACCATCGATCGCGCAACGCTGTCGTCGTACATATACCTAGATGGCGCCGCAAAAGAAAGCTCGTCGACGGCCAATCGCTCAAACGGTCACCTCCGCATGCTTGCAACAGTGCGCACAGCCAACTGCGTTCGGCGTCCTGTGCTTTTGCGACAAAAGTTGTGTGCCTGCTTAGAGGCGTGTATCCAAAGCTTCATCATGCTTGCCGTCTCTCGAGGTGTCCAGCGACTTGACGTCCTTTATTGAGCGCTTAGGATTCAGCGGTAAAGGCGCCAACGATCAAAAAGACGTTGAGGCCGACGATGAGAAGGCAGAGCACGGCCGTGATGGCCGAAATCAAGTACGAGTTGGCCCACGCGCCCATAATGGCCGTCTTGCTCGTAAAGTAGGCCAGTGGCACGAGTGCAAACGGAATGCAAAAGCTGAGCACGACCTGGCTCACGACCAGCGCTTCGGTCGGGTCGACGCCCGCAAACACAATAATGAGCGACGGCACGATCGTCACGAGCCGGCGGATCCACATCGATACTTGGCGACGGAGGAACCCTGCCATGATGACTTGGCCGGCGAGCGTTCCGACAGCCGACGACGAAATGCCGGACGCGAGAAGGCCGATCGCAAAGACGGTGCTCGCGGCCTTGCCGAGGAGCGGCTCGAGCGTCACATACGCCGTCTCGATCGTTGTGATATCGTTTTGGCCGTTGGCGTGGAAGGTCGCTGCCGCCATGATGAGCATCGACATGTTGACAAAGCCCGCGATCCCGAGTGCGATGATGATGCCGGTGATCTCAAACGCGAGCGGCGGCAAGATGACGTCGCCCGTCTCGCTGACGCTGAAGCGACCTTGCGTGAGCGACGAGTGGAGGTAGATAACGTGGGGCATGACGGTCGCACCGACGATCCCGACGGCGAGCAACACGCTGTCCTTGCCGTCGAACGCAGGTACAAACGTGTGGTACGCGACGTCGCCCCAGTCGATCGACTGCAGCGCAGTCTCGACAATGTACGAGACGACAATCACCGAGACAAGCGAGAAGATGACGGCCTCAAAGACGCGCGTCTGGTGCTGGTGCACGAGCAGCAGTAGCATGGTCGTAAAGCACGTGATGAGCGCGCCCCACACCAGCGAAATGCCAAAGAGGAGCTCAAACGCGATGGCGGACCCGATGAATTCGGCCACGTCGGTCGCGATCGCCGCGATCTCGGCAATGAGCCACATGAGTAGCACAAACCAAGTCGGGCACTGCTCGCGGATGATTTCCGGCAGGTTCTTGCCGGTCGCGAGCCCGAGCTTGGCCGAGAGCGTCTGGAAGAGCATCGCCATGACGTTAGCGACGAGGATGACCCAGAGCAGCGTAAAGCCGTAGTTGGACCCGCTCTGAATGTTGGTGGCAAAGTTGCCCGGGTCCACGTACGCGACGGACGCGACAAACGCCGAGCTCAGCGCCGGCAGGAGCCGCCGGAAGAAGCGCCCAACAGCCGACGTCTCGGGCGACGCGTGCGTGATGGAGCCTTCTTTGGCCTCGATCTGGATCGCGACCGCCGACGCCTCGCTCGTCTCGTGCGCATGGTACGCCGACGCCTTGGGCGTTGTGATCATCGTTGCGCAAATGGTCGAATAAAACGCGCGGTCGCGCCAGCAGGCGTACTTTTGAAGCGAATTGCAACGTGGCCCGGCACCTGATTGGCTACTGCAGTGCGGACAGACGGATGGGACATGCGAATCTGGCTGCAACCACGTGAGGTGGAGGACTTGGTCCGTCCTGCGCATGAATCTACATACTGTCCTGTCGCCGTTGCTGCATAGTGTGCCACCGTAGTCAGGTAGTACTAGGACTCGATTCGACCGCTGCCAACGGCACGGATATCAGCAGCACACGGATGCTCTCGAGGTGAAGCCACGGAGTCAAGCACGACCAAACCGACCTACAAGGACCTGCGTTGCGGACTCACTGCCACGACAACACTACTGCGGTTTACTGAGCACACAGCGTGGACACACATGGGATGTCAGTCCTGGCTGTGCCCACGTGGTGCACTCGCACTGGTGGATCGCGTATACCCAGCTCGATCGCGCCACGGCACGGCGTGACATTATGTTGAGGTGGTCTCGACACTTGCGCAAGTGACAACGGTAGCTACCTTTCAAGCCCAACGGCAAACTCGTATTTGAATTTGTTCGAAAGGCAGCTTGAAGATCGCAAAATTCGAAATGTTTACTCTCTAAGGCAATTGGACAGCGAGCCAATCGCAGGCAACTCGGATCCAAAACCCATGGCCTCGACCGCGGCCGTGACGGGCCTTGAGGCGCTTCTGGCGAGTGACTCGGAGTGGCGCAACATCCAAGCGGTCGTCAAGAGCACGTTTGAGACCGTCGCCCGCATCCTCTCCAGCCACGCTGTCTTGCTCGAGACGCTGGACGCGCGCCTGGACCGCCTCGTCGATGCCCACACGCCGCCGATAGCGAGTGCCATTTCCCAGCACGACTTTGCGCAGCTTCAAAACGACGTGCGCAAGTGCCTCAAGCGCGCCGTGACGTCCAGCGACCTCGAGACGCGCGTCGCGGCGGCGGTCGACCAAATGAAGCGCCGCATGGACCATGCGGTGGGCCCGCTTCAGGAGGCGAACGCATTGACCACCAAACTACTCATGGACCGGGCACACGACTCATTCGTCACGAGAGCCGACCTCGACGCAGCGTCTACCAGCGTAGGTGCAATTCAAACGCTGTGGGATGCAATGTCAGTCGTAGGTGGCGCGTGCGGCCAAGGCGTCGGCGTCAGCAGCAATCGCCGAAGCCGAGCAGCGACTTGGAAAGCTCGTGGCGCACCAGCAACAAACCGAGTCCAAAGACCATGTGCGCAAGTCGCAGCTCCACGAGCTCTTTGCGTTCAAAGCGACGATCGAACCGGAAGTGCACGCACTTGCAAAGCGTCTTCCGGAGCTCGTGCACGCCCAAGCCGCGTGGCAGACCGAAGTACAGAGAGAGTTTCATCGGCAAAAGACCCAGCGCGACGATGCACTAACTAAAGTGATTGCCGAGTGCCAGACCCACTTGGTATCCATACGAGTCTCGTCGACACTCGAGATACCATTCGTCTTGTAGCGACAACGCGCGATGGCGTCCGACGTCAAGCTCGTGCTTGCAGGCAAGGTCGACCGCTCCGAGCTCCACGACGTGCGCCACGAGGTTAGACCGCTACTGTATGTTGTCATGCGGACCGAATGGTAGACGGTACTGGAGAAGGAAGCGCTCGACACGCGTCTGCATGAGCTCGACGAGACGCTTCAGCGCACGGTCAGCCAGCTCAAAGTTGAATTTGGCCAGATTCTAGAGAAAAAATGTGCCAAATCGGATGTGGTCAAGATTTTTGCGCGCAAAGTCAACCAAGGTACTTACATGTAGCACCAGATCTCGCATCGACCATTGGCTAGACGACGTCCAGGCATGGCTAGCAGCCAAGGTGAGCCATGACGAACTGCGGGAGGTGTGCACGGAGCTGCTCCACGCAACGACCAAGCAAACCAACGACATGCAAGGCGAGATGCGCGACGAACTCGAGAGTCTCCGGACAAAAGTCGAGACGCGCGCCAAAGAGCTCCACGAACACATTGCCGAGTCGATACAGACGCTGGTAGGGAAACGCGTTCTGGAGTCGATGTGGACGATTATCCGCATAGCAACACCAAGTGCGGCTCATGGACGGGTGGAAGCTCAGTGTCGACGATCTCCACACGCAGCTCGTGACCAAGGTGGCGCCTCCTTGCACTAGAATATGGACGATATGGATCTTACTAGATGGGCATCAAGGACACGTGTACGCTTCTCGACACCAAGTGCAACATCGCCGACGTCAACGACGCCCTCGCTTCGCTCCAAGAAACGCTGCGGTCCAAGGCCGACGAAGGCGACGTGAAGGCGCTTGGGGACGATCTCAGCGGCCTTCGCCGGCAAATGCGCGGCGAGCTTTGTCTTGGACGCTGGGTACTCGGTTCCAACCCAGCTCACGCCTCATGCTTTTTCAACGCTAGATCTGGAAGCACGGTCGACCCAGCGAGGTCCAGACCATCCAGTGGAATATACAGATTGTCAACACGAGCCCCGACATTTTCGTATGGGAAAAAGGCGCCGACGCCATCACGCTCGAGCTACCCGGCCTCTATATGCTTCAAGCTGGCTTCTTCACCGACTACAACCCGACGATTCACATCGTCGTCAACGGGGAGCCGGCGCTCGTCGTACCCAGGTATTACTTAAGGCTCGCTCGTTTTTGAATCAAATCGATAGCTCCAAAAACGACGGCCGGCGGCTACGGCACTCGGCTGGCAACGTCGCAGGCGTCTCGGTCTGCGAGTTCCTCGCGTTGCCGCCCCGCGCCCGCCTCACAATCAGCTATGACATCGACGAGCGGGCTCAAGCGTGCTTGACCCTTCGAAAGCTCTAGAATAAGCTGCAACTCTATTCTGTCGACTTTCAAGGCAGTGCCATGTTTACGCCGGCTCGGTCAGCGGCATGTACCATGCCTCGGTCATGAGCGCACGGTCGCGCGCCGCCGTGTTGAACGGAGGCTTGAGCACACCGACGTAGTGGGCGCGGACAAGGCCGTGGAAGGTCGGGATCGGGTCCAATCCACCTTGCTTCTCACAGAGGTACTGGAACCAGCGCAGCCCCGCCGCGACTACACACAACAATATTGTCCTTTCAACTCGAGACAGAAGGACAATTTTGTACCGTGCGTGACTTCCTCTTTATGGTTTTTCTCCATGAACGTCAGCGTCGTCAAGTCGTTGCTCTTGGTGAAGCGCGCGACGGCCATCGGGTACGTGTCCAAGCCCCGCGCCTCGTGCACAAGGTGCACAAGCGCAAGCCGCGAGAGCATGTCGGACGACGTCTCGCGCGCGCTGTCCCAGAGCCCGTCGTGGCCGGGCAGGTCGCCGTAGAACGAGTCGAAATCCTTGAGACGACCGGCCCAGCTGCGGTAGTGCTGCGCCTCTTCGTCGGCGATGCGCACAAAGTCGTCAAAGAACGCCTTGGGCATGTCGTTGGACGGTCCGAAGCGACAGACCATGTCCCACATGAGATCGATCGCGTAGCTTTCAGCGTGGGCCACGCTACACACGTCCACGTCAGAGCCATATATATCGATATATGGATATGGGTACCTGTGGGCAAAGGCCTTGCGGTTACCCTGCTTCATCTTGTCGTTCTTGGATGCGATTCTCACATAGTCGGGGCGCGCCGGCGACTCGGGCACAGCAGCGAGGTCGTCGTCGGGCAGCGACGTGGCCGAGATCGTGCCCGCCTTCCACGCAGCGGCAAAGGCCCGGGTCTTGGCCGCCTTGGCCTCGGCGCAGCTCGTGCGCAGCACCTCGAGGCCGCACGAGAAGAGGCTTCGGGTCGAGAGGTCCGCGTACGTCGACGTCGCGTCGTCCACGCCTGTCTCGGTCGCCATCGCCAGCCAAAACTGGCACCGTATCCGGATCACCGGATACAATCCGGCTAAAAATAGATATGGTGAATTGCACCTGTAGTGAGGATACCCCACCTCGCACGCTGGCAGCGAGCACACGTTGTCTCGCCTTGTACATAGCGAACGAGGGCTAGCGACTCGTCTAAACGCCAAGACAAAACAAAAAGAGAGCAAATAGGACGTTTGATATCGCGTTAGTAGAGCTCTTGCCATGGAATTGCATGGGTGAAACGCTACGGATTGCCACTATTTGTGGTACATACAATTGGCGCCACCGCGGGTTTCCGGTTTCAGACGGCCTTTCTCGCTCGGCGGCCATGGATATCATGATGGCGCTGAGCACGGAGGACGTGAAGCGGCTCAAGTCGCGCTTCGTCCGGCCGCTCACCATCGACGAGTTTGTCTACACCATGACCAAATCGCTCCACGAACACATCCAGGACGAGGTACCTGAGCTGCCTTCTACTCGAGCTTTCGATACTTGTATAGCTCGAGTTTGCAATGGCCGTCATTGAGCTCTTTGAGACCATTGACGTCAACGGCGACGGGTCTCTCGAGTGGGACGAATTTGCGGGGTACGAATTCATCGTCCACAGCAAAATGCAGGGTGGATAATTGGCTAGCTATATCATGGACGCGGGCATTGCCAAAGCGGAAGAGGCGATCAGCGCGCAGTCGGCCACCAAACTCTATACAAAACTGAGCTTCAAGGGCGAGCTCGCCAACTCGACGCAGCCGATTACGGCCGAGCGCACGTACATTGCGCAGCTTTTGTACCTCGCGGCCAAGAGCGCCGTCGCGTACTTTGAAGTGCACGCGGACGTGGTACATTTGTATGTGGTCGCCCACGAGCGCGACGCCGAGCCTCGCTTTGCCTCGACGATTCGCCTCCACACGGCGTACCAAGCCCATAAGGTAGGGAGTGTCTCATAACCTTTTTGTCACTAAAAATGACCGATTGATAGGTGCTCGCGATCGAGGAAGTGCCGACGCGATCGATGCTCGTCGTGTCGTCTGTGCTCCAGCAACACGGTACGATCACGCTGTGGGACATTGGCCGCATTTACGGTCCCGTGCCGCTGCAGCGCGTCGAAACACCAGCGCCGCACGAGCTGCTCCTCTGGGTTCCGTCGGCCCAGCTTCTCTTGACGGCAACTGGCCACATGAGCAAGCACCAGCACCGAAAGCCCCCAAGTCCGCTCATCGCAGCATACGACATTGCAGCGCTGGCGTCCGTGGACATGGAGGTCGACGTCAAGGGTGTGAGTGCGCTCTGCGTCGTCAAGCGCAGCACGCGCACGGCTGTGGCCTTTGGCAGCTTTAGTGGTCTCATCACACTCCACGACCTCTCGCGCGAACACGCTGATGTGGTGCTCGAGGCCCATGAAAAAGGTATATTTGTGTTTTTCCATTGTTAAATTGCTTATCAATTTCCCCGAAAGACAGGATTTATACTTACGAGGGTATATGCACCGTAGGCGTCAAGGCTGTTGTTCACTCGTCCAAGTTTGCCTACCTCGCAAGCATTGGGTTTTACTCGTTTGCAGAAGAAAGCACGATGGAGATCTTGGTTTGTGTGATTATATGTGGATCTTTTTGCTGAGCTTGACGTGGATGTAGATCTGGAACGTGGACAACGGCGTCCTTGGGACGGCGTTGCGTGGGCACCATGCAGCGGTAAACGCTACCTCAGTGTCTAACTTGGACGTTGACATGGCGCTGTGAATAGCTATGTGCCATCACCGCCGTCGACTCGGAGAGCCACCTCCTCTCGTCCGATGAGCTTGGCACCTGTCGCGTGTGGTCTGCCACGTCATGGGACTGTCTACAGGTTGTGCGACATATAGTACATTCTTTTGGCATGTATAAACATCTACATTGTGCTAGGTGTTTCAGGCCCACTCGGCGGAGATGGGATTGCTTCGAGCACAGCTCGTGATGCCTGCCACAGCCCACGCCGACGCTGTCCTCCTCTGCGGCGGCAAGTGCGTCGAGTACTTTGACTGCTCGATTACCCGCGACCGAGAAGAGTTTATCTTTATGGCCTTCAACGCGACGCTCAACCTCATTACTGCCGCGACGTGTAATACGTCCATGTCACCATATTTTGCTGTCCATGTATATACCTCGCAGTATTTAGATCACCGCCTGATTCTCTGGGACGTTGGTACGGGCAAAGCCACCAAAGTATACAACCTCCAAGTCATTTACAACGAACGACCCGTGCGCGGAATCACAGCCGTGTGTATGGACGACCGCGAGCGCAAGCTAATTGTCGGCGATGACGCGGGCCAAATTCTCGTCGTCAACATGGTCAACGGCAACCTCATGAAGGAGCTCGACCCGCACGCCCTCGCGGTACCATACCGAATGAATATATGGACAAGGATCCATACACAACCCTAGATCACGTCCATATCGTACGCGGCCAAAGCCAAGTGTGTCGTCTCGACCGCCATGGACTCGAGCATCCATATCTGCGATGAGAACAACGCCCACGGGTATTATGTACCGTACGCTGGCGCGCCGCTCTCGGTGCTGTTGCGCTCAATTCACCTCGAGGCGCCGCCACCAGCATGCACCGTGCTTCTCTCCCAGCGCTCTCGTCCATCGTCGGCAGTGACTACACCCCTCATGAGTCTACAGGGTACTAGACATTTTTGTGCACTTTAGACGGACCTTCGACCGCGCAGCAATAGCGGGCTGCCATCAAGCAACCTCCATGGCGCGCAGCTCTCGATCGACATTGTGACAAGCCAAGTGAGCGAAGCATGGGATCTCATCGCGACGATGGCGCATGTCTCGGGCGCGCTTGGCGTACGTGCTTGCTACCTCGAACGTATATCGCTGATACGGGGACAGGAGTGCTATCTGCAGCTGTGGGACTTCTACTCGCCGCAACTGGTCGGGTCGTGCGTGCCTCCGCGCGTGCACTGCGGCGAGATCATGTGCATCGCCTTCCTCGGCGCGCACCCCGGGCTTCTCGCGGGTTTTTCCAACGGCGACGTCTTTCTCTGGGGCGTTCGGCGGTCTGCTGCGCCGTCCCAATGCCTCTTTGAGTTCAAGCACACGGCCAAAGGCAGCCCCATCACGTGCCTTCATGTTGTCGTGACGCCCGTAGGCAGATTATTGCATCGCCCTATATCGATGCTAGGAACATTGGTTTAGGGTGCCAAGCCGGACTACTGGGTCATTGGCGGCGACGAAGCGGGCCGCGTGACGCGGTGGACGCTCACACACGACATGTGCGCGCGTGCGCTCCTTCCCAAGGACGCATTGCCGCCCGAGACCAACGACGAGCCCAACGGAGCGGGCGGTCGGAGTGCTGAAGCCACGGTCGGGCGGCACACGCACAGCGAGGTGGTCTGGGATGCGATCCATAAAAGCGTCAAAGCGGCCAAGTCGATCCAGCAAAACAGCCCACCACCGACGTGCGTCTACCACGACGTGCAGTGGTCGACGGGACCGAGCGCGGTCGCCAAGCTCTCGTCGGTTCCGTGCGTCAAGGGCGGAACGTCGCTTCTCTCGTGCTCGGTTGCGGGCCAGGTCAAGGCGTGGACGAGCGACGGCGACCCGGAAGGCACGCTCGACTATTTTGCGACACGCCGCGAACCAGGTCCGTGGCGCGGCATCTAGTTGATGTTATCAATTGTGGGGTAGTCGTCGAGCCGTGGACCGTGCCCGTGGACACGTCGTGCCGGCGCCGCGTCAAGGAAGCCCAGGCGCGCGAACTCTGCAGCAAAGTGCACCAGCTCAGCCTCGCGATGCGCGATCCCCGGGTATTTCATGTCCTCGGATGGCTCGATGACGGTTGACTGGGTCGTTGTAGCGCGAGGTGACGCCGCTGCCGACGCCGCAGATGAGTTTAAGCACGAAATCACCGCTCGGGAGCCCGAGTTTCAAGCTCACGCCGCGCACGTGCGCGCGCTTCAAGAGCTTGTCGCAGCTCGTGACGCGAAAAGGCCAAGCCAAAGACGATGACACGGCCGCGAGCGCGCCGTTGGGTTCGTGCGCATCAAACGCGCGCACCTCTTCACACGTGCGCGGTAGATGTGGTCTTGCACGAACTCGGGCATTTGGACGACGTCAACCGGCGCGCAACCGTCCGCAAGAAGCGGGAAATCAAGACCGTCGAAGGGATACTCGAGCTCCAGCGCGCCGCATCGCTGACGCAGCTACCGTCACAGACGACGCGACTGCCGCAGCACCGGGCCCAACGCGGCCTTCTCAAGCGAACGCTCCCCAAGCTCAACACGTCGGCGGTGTCAACGACAGCAACGTCGCCGCCGCTCGAGACCGTCCTCTCGTATCACATGAAGCTGGCGCACTCGTGGCAGCAATAAGATGCTTTCTTATCGTCTTCTTATTGGATCACGGCGTGCGTCTTCCAATAGGCGACGGCCTCGAGGTACTTTTCGCGGGAGAGCGGGACGCCCGACCCGCCTTCTTCCTTTCCGAGCGCGTTGCGGAGTACCGTGATCGGGTTCATGGGCAGCTCGTGGGCGACGTCCTGCGCCTTGACCGAGATGATGCCCCACGGCACGTCGTCGTTGACGTTATCGAGCGGGAGCCCTGTCGCCGCCGTCTCCTTGCGGATCTGGTCGCGGCTGTACAAAATGATGTCGAGGAACGACGCAGCTTCGGGCTCGAGGGACGCACTCGGGAACCAGCGCGCGAGCCTACGTAGCGTCCATGATGCACTTTGCGAAAGAGCTAAGATAGAACCTACACGGGGAGCTCCGTGGGCACGCGGGCGACGTAGTCGGTCTCGAGCAGGTGCTTGTTGACGTCCGTAATGAGCGCCGTGCTCAGCTTGGCACCGACAAAGTTCGGTACAAAGAGATGCTTGCAGAACGGCGCGTAGCTAGCCACAGCTGCATGGGGTCGCGTCAGCGAGGCGGCAGACGTACCCGTCGATGAGCGAGCACGCGCCGGCCGCATAGAGCTCGTTGATCTTGGCCTCGAAGGCCGCCTTGTCGTAAGCGATGTGCGTGCCCTTGTAGCTCGGGTCGTCAAACTGGCGCAGGCAGAAGCCATCTACGCAGCCTTAGGAGCTGGTCGCCCATGGCGCCGTACCGAGTGCGAAAGTCTTGGTCGTCGTCGAAGCCATCGTGCTCAGCCCTCGCCGCAAACCACACAGAACGGATGTCATGAAAATTCGATGTACAGAATCTCTGGAACTCTGTATTAATATATGGATTTCATGTGCCATATATACTACAACATGCCCTCGTCAGGTCGTTTGACGGGTGATCAAGCGAGGAGTCGAGCGCAATACTAGTAGACTGCACGATTGGTAAGGTCGACGTGCGTAACACCATGATAAGAGAGGCTACGCAAGTAACGGCGTACCGTGGCTTCAAGGATCGTCAAGCGCGTACTGGCCTAGGAAGATATGGTTTGTTTCTATGGATACCTGTATCCGAATTTCCGGATAGGGTGCTCGGTGCGAGTGCATTCGAGCCAAGATGGCGGCAAAGCGCAAGAAGGCCGCGCCGCGCCGGCCCAAGCGCAAGCGCGAAGAGATCGTCGAGCGATGCGTCGAGAGGCCGACAGGGCGGACGTACCGCGTGCTCGACGGTCTGCCGGACGACCTTGCGCCCGACATTGTACGCATCCTATCGAATGTGCCCGGCGGTTGACCTCGGGCATGCTGTAGTGGGCTGCGATCGAGCGGTTTGAAGATGCGCAGCTCGCACCGGCGGAGCGCACGCAATCTGCATGTCCTTTGCCGGCCAGCGTTAGTATGCACGATGATTTTTGCCCCGAGAGCGACGACGACGAAGCCATCGAAGCGACGTACACAGCGCCAGATGGACCTTCCTCGCCACGCCATGCACCTACCGTACACGACGTCGGTATGGTTGACGACATGATTGTACCCTCCACACCGTCGCCGACCAAGACCGACGAGGCGCCACCATCCGAGCCCTCGCCTCCACGAACGGCGCCGACGAGCGCGATGAGGACCACCTCGACACCGTCGCCCGCCAAGCCCTCGCCTCAAAACACAACCCTCGAGATTGTGACGTGCGCGAACATGAGCGCTTCTACGCCGTTGGTTCTCGAAGACAGCGCGACAGAGGCAACTGCGGAGAGGGATGTGCCGGCGTCCCCCACGCAGCACTCCCCTCCGTCCATGGTCCACGACGAGCACACGGCGTCCACGCCAAGCGAGACGCCGTACTCGGCCACGATGCGCTTGTACGACCTTTCTGCTTCGGCACCTCCGCCCTTGGTTTTGGTAACGGACGAGGCGGGGGCTGCTGAGCCAGCGTCGCCGCCCCATGTGCAAGGCGATGCCCTGCAAGTGCTGCTCTCGCTCTCCGACAAGTGTCCGACCTTGGCGTCCTGGCTCAAGCACGAAGACGACGACGTACCGCTGGCGTCGCTCGACAACGTCTTTGACGAATCCGACGAGGCCCCAACGACTAAGAGTGTGCCTCGCGTGGACATTGGACCGTCCATGGCAGTACGTTCGATGCTGTATCGCATCTGGTAACCCGGTCCATAGGTCTGGTCATCGGCGTTGCAAGCGCGTTGTCATCTTCTTCCGTCGCACGCCGCGGCACCAGGTACTCTCTGCCCTCCGGCGGTTGCATTTATGGTCATATATATCCAGTGTCGCCCGTGCTCGTGTACTGGATCCAGCATACGTGGCGGATGCATGACAACTACGCGCTGGTTGCGCTCTCGCATCTGAGCCGACAACTCGAGCTACCGGCTGTCGCTTTTTGCGCCCTGCCCCGCGCCATGGTGTCAGTGGCATCATCGCCAACGCACGAGTGCTTCCCGTCCGCGATCGCCGACGTCCGCCGGCAGCTCCAAGCCCACAGTATCCCGCTCTACGCGATCACCGAGTCCACTGACGAGGCCATCGAGGTGTCCATGTTTGCGTACGAACACTGGTGCCAAGTCGATGTTGACGTAGACGCGCAACGCGCGCCTTGTGCAAGCCCTCAACTCGTTTCGTGCGCAACTCGTCGTCACGGATGACGGACATATCACCAGCCGCACGGTGGCCCGGCTTGCCGCGGAGCAGCTCACGTCGTCGCTGCTGCTCGTACAACAGCATATTGCAACGTGCGGACTCAGCGCGCGATGTGTAGGTCGACAGCACCTGCGTCGTGCCGTGGCGACACATGGCATTAGTCACCAAGGAAATTTTTAAGACCACGTGGGCCGTGCAGCTTGAGGACGGCCTCCGGTCGGCACCCCCGCTGGACTTTTGCCCGCGCCGCCAAAGCTCCGTCTTTCCGCCGCCCATGGCGCCGCCGTTCGCCGTACACACCATTGCATGGTATTTGCTCGACCGGTCGATGATGACAGCGCGCAACATGAGGTGCGATTGCATGCTTTGTCTTTGGTATTGACAAAGCACAGTGAGACGGCAGCGTTGGCGGCCCTCCAAGAGCTCGTGCAGAGCAGTATGGTGCCACGACCCGCCATCCAAGACGAACTCCACGTACGCTGAGAATGATGGTGTTGTCATTGAAACATTGATACTTCCATTTGAATAGGGTCGAGGCATCTTGTCGGCGCTGCCATACGTTCGGTTTGGTTCCCTCTCGCCCATACATCTGCTGCAGTCGCTTTTGAGTCTCCAGTCCAAGGTACTGCCCAGTCTGGTTTTGGATACCAGAATCTAGAAAATCGTTTTGCACTAGGTCCTATACACCCGTGCGATCGAACACATTGTGCTCGCGCACGAGATGGACGTGCACAGCTACGAGCTCGCGCGGCCCAAGGACCCAGTGGCCGACACCCACCGAGACGACGTCATGTACGACCTGGCATGCCGATCACTTGGCATCGTCCGCTGTGTAGTGCACTGTACGAAGCGTACGTTGCGAGCTTGCCGCTACCGCCTGTAATGACCTCGTTGACGACCCAATACTTGCCGTACGAGCTGGAAGCCAGCGCGACGAACGACGGCTTTTGGAACAACATTCAGTCGCACCTTCGAGCCACCGGGTATTTGCACCCGGTGCTAAGCCGGTACTGGGCGGCGCGGCTCTTTGAGTGGTCACCGTCCGTCGCTGTTGCGCTTGCGGTGGGTACCCAGTGTCCAAAGGCAAGGAGACATTTCATATTTTGCGTAGACGATGGAGGCGCTCTTGTTTCGGTACGCCGTTGGTGCGACGAGCGCTGAGGTGCTTGGGCTCCTTCGCCTCTACGGCCACGACGCGCCGCCTAATGACAGCGCTGAGAAGCTTGTTCAGAAGCAGCTACAAGACGCTCTGAGCACCAAGCCCGATAGTGGCGCGTAGCTACGGCACCAATATCTTGCGTAAGCCAGTATTTTAAGCGCTGGAATTTCGCCACGGGCCAATGCATTACGCTGCATCTCTGTGAGAAAGGCCGTAGGCAACAAAGGCGTGGGTAGGGCACAGTCGTTGTGCCGCCGCGTCTCGACGGAGCGGCAGCCGCGGTTGAATTTTCTCGAATGTAGCGCGTCTGTGTACGTGGCAGCGCCACGTGCCGGTAATGTTCCAGAGTCCACCTTTTTTGTCACAAGTGCAATGTGTGGCTTAAAGAAAGGGCGATTGTACCCTTTTTTGTCCAGACAATGTTCATTTGAGAGAGGGAAATGGTTCATTTGAGAGAGGTTTTCGTCGCACCCGATTTTTTCACTGGTTGTCAGTTTTCAAATCGAGCGCAACGGCAGAGGTCGCGGGCAGTCTCCTGCGCATCCTGCTACGTAGACTAGACCGGCTACATTATCTAGAGTCTCTGGCTATCGCATCTCCTCCGTCGATGCGCCAGCGCTACCTGTAGCCTAGAGCAATATCAAGCGGTGTGCCACTGACGTCTTCTCTACGTCGGCTGATGCATCGAGAACTATGACATTCGAATTGTCTAGTAGCTTAGATACCGAAACGGCAAGCACGAGGTGTGATGAGTGAAACTCACCTGTCGGGGAGATCCACTGTTGTCCTGGCGCCCGCTTAATTGCGGGGCAACCCACCAGGAGCCGGTGCGGTCGCTGCACGAGATACTGCATTGATGCACGTCTGACCTCTACGTGCCAACGTCTTATTTTTTGGTTTTTATTTGCATGTTCTTAGTTTTTCTTTGTATTTGTGAGATATGATGAGTGAAACTCACTTGTCGGGAAGATCCGCTGTTGTCCTGGCGCCCGCTTAATTGCGGGGTAACCCACCAGGAGCCGGTGCGGTCGCTGCACGAGATTTTGCTTCAAGCACGTCTGATCTCCAAAACGAATTCCATATTGTGTATGCTTGCTGGATCCAAACGTCCTTGTCGTGCGAACCATCGACTCGCTATGGTCCTTGAACAGACCGACTATTGAAACCAGCGATATTAACTTGATCCTTCAGCTGTATCCACCTCTTTTTCGTGTGGTTGCGGTACCGTTTGTGGCTCATACATTCTAGTATTTGATGTATTTCACAGGACATTCTCCCCCCGCTATCGTGTTATCTGTTCTGGGCTCTCCATGCTCTTGTTCAGTTGTCAAAATCGGGGCACAAGAACGAACTCGTATTATGTCTGACCGACGTACCTCTCTGGCGCGCTCGGTCCTTATCGGGTCCGACATTCTTCCTAATGAAATCAACTAGTTTACTTTTGTTAACCAAACAATTCAACAGAATTTCCGTCCACGTTTGTCATTTTGTCCAAAACAAAAACAGCCCGGCAACATTGGGGTCAGTGATGAGAGCGTTCTCTCGTCAGAGTATCGGTGCAACCTTCCGTTGGCCCGAGGTGCCGTGGAGATCTTCTATGACGGCATTTGTCGCGGCGCAGGTTGCTGGGCGGGCCCCGACGATGAGCCCTCGGTGATCAGAGCCAAAATTCGTCACCGTCGCTGTGCCCCAGCCCTGCGTTTGTGCTTTACGTGTCATTCTGTTTGGGTCTATGGACGCCGTACGACACTTTCCCACGTCATCAACCGTTACTATTACTGTACGTCGACGGCGACCACCTCGAAGAGGTCCCGGATGACGTGGAGCTCGGTGCCTCGTTTTGTGTCGCCATGGCGTCGCCGGCGTCAAGCCACGACAACGGTCAATCCGCGACGCCGCGTCCGCCAAAATAGCACCGAGCGCCGCCGTGGCCACCGAGACCGCGATGCGGTGTCCACACCGAAGCGGCCCTCCCGGGGCAACGGCCGACGCAACGACACTGCTGCTGCGGGGTCGCGACTCGTCGGTCGCCAGGCCGCGGACGACTCCAGCAATGACAGTGATGCCGATCTCGACTCCTTTTTGGGGAGTGCCGACGACTCTATCAATGAAGGCTCCGTGTCCAACGACGGCAATTCCGATGGCAGCGAGCGCGCAGCTTTTGGTTCGGGCGCGACTGACGGCTCAGGCCGCGGGCGCCGCAGCGTACCTCGTGCTGGATCATCCTCTTCGGGGCGCCGCACGCCGGGGTTGCGTTATTCCGAGTCCGTCGAGCGCCGCGGGCGGCCAAACGCGCCAAGATTGATTTCACGTGGCTTTTCGCTCAGGGGGAAAAAGGGCGCGAGGCCTGCATTACCGCTGCACCTCGGGTGAGGCGTGGCGGGTTGCTTAGCGGAGAGCGAAAACTAGAATGCTAGGCTCTGCCGACCAGTCGTTGGTTTCGCTGAGCCGCCTTCTCTTGAAAAGTCCGTTTCGACTCCTTGCAGGCGCGAAACACCCATTTTGCGCCGCCGCAGGAAGACATTCTTTGACACAAAGCGATTACGGCCAACCATCTTCTTGACTTGTCGCCCAACGCTTTTGTCCGACGGGTGGCCTCCAACCTCGAGCTCGGTTTTCCAGCATGCCCGCGATCATCGGACGGCTGTAATGGCTTTCTTTCGGCGCGGGCGGTCTTTCACTCATGCACATGGCCCCGGTGGACACGTGCCACGTGATGCGCACGAGTACAGCTTGGCTGTTGGACACTTGAGCTTGGAGGCAAAAGGAAAACTGAATTCGATCGACCATTTACAAAGCTAAACCTAAACCCGCTCGTATAAGGCTTTGCCACT